AGCCCGCAATAAATAAATACAGCCTGTTTTCAACCCCTAAATTTGCAGTGTTCTCTGAAAAAAATTAGCATGCTCAACTTTTCATTTCGTATGGTATGATGCACCGCGCGCTTTAAGCAATGCCGCTACCCAGATCCCTATCGGCCACTGGCGGTAAACCAAAATGGCGGCCCTTGGTGGTATAGCGGGATCAGAGAATAGACTTATATCCTTTTTTCAAAGGACAAAAGCACTTCTTGCAGAAGCGGAACAATACATTTCTATATTTCCATCTATTGAAAACATAGATGAAATAGAAATGTTACACGAAAGGCTGTCTGAGGCTGGAGAAACTGTTTTTATTTTGAAAGAGAGGGCTGCCGAACTCACTAGCGCGGATCGTGATTTGGAAATGGGAAACTTTTATAGCAACATGGATCAGCTGTCCTTATACTTGACAAGACTCCGAGTATATTTTGAGAATATAGCAGATGATTTAAGTGAAAGCACATTGAATGTGCCAGCTCACCAATGCGAAAGGAACTACACAGGTACAAGAGGTCAGCCAAAAATTAAAGTTTCTAAAAGGCAAATACAATTTCTTCGAGAGTTGCACTTTCCTTGGGTCAGAATAGCGGAACTACTCGGAATTTCCACAAAAACTCTAACTAGAAGACGACAAGAGTTTCAAATTGAGGACGAGGGGGAAGTTAACTGGTCTTCACTTAGGAATGGAGAACTAAGAGAAATCATGCAAGAAATAATGACTGTTACCCCTGGGATTGGTCAAACCAGAATGATAGGTGCACTACATAGCAGGGGAATAAGAGTGCAGCGATGGAAAGTCAGGGAACTTATGCGTGAGTTGGATCCAGTTGGAACAGCACTTCGGTGGAGAGGAACTATTTGTCGAAGAAAGTACAATGTACGAGGTCCAAATGCACTGTGGCACATCGATGGGAACCATAAGATGATACGCTGGCGGCTTGTGGTACATACTGCTATTGATGGATATTCTAGGTTGATACCATATCTGCACTGTGCAAACAACAACAGATCCGATACAGTACTTGCACTATTTCAGAATGCCTGCCAAAGTTATGGAATGCCTTCAAGGGTTAGGAGTGACCATGGTCTCGAAAACATGGGTGTAGCCCGAATGATGTTGGAGTGTCGGGGAGTCAACAGAGGGAGCATGATAACTGGAAGTTCAGTGCACAATCAAAGAGTCGAACGGCTTCATAGAGATGTGACCAGTGGTGTTCTTAGAAGCTATATAGATGAGTTCAACATGATGGAAAGATCTGGTCTATTAGACCCTATCAATGAAGTCCATTTACTGTCACTTCACCTTGTATTTCTGCAGGAAATTAAGAAATCTCTGGATGAATTTACCAGGCAGTGGAATTACCATGGCCTTTGCACAGAAGGTGGTTCATCTCCTCTTCAGCTTTGGACTGAGGATATTCTAAGATCTGCAAATGGCAGGAACTCACCTCTGGATGGTATTTTATGAGAGGAAGAATTAGTTTGGTATGGCGTAGATGAAGAGGATGCCATTTCTGTTTCAGAAGAGGATCAAGAGGTGATTGTTCCCAGCAGTAACATACCTTTGAGTGAAGATTAGCTGGATTACCTTCACTCCCTAGTACCCACAAACCTAACAAGGAGTGAACGAATCTCTAAATATGTTGAGCTTGTGGGTGTTAATAATGAGATGCTTTAAGTTTGGGTTTGAAGAGGGGCAGGGGACCTAGAGATTAAGCAACTGGCCATTTTATGGGCTGAGTGTAAAAAACTTTCCCTCTAGGTTTACTGAAATCAACTTTCAATGTAGAAATATATTTCAATGTAACCATATCATTACTGATAACAACTTGCTCAGTGTCATCCGCAAATTTTACTACAAGAAATAGAAAGCATTCTGGCTTCTCATTTGTCGTGTCCAATGTGTAGCTGTAGCACGTGAGTTCAGGTAAGGAAATAACTTGCATATGTCACAGCATTGACGTTTAATGTTTCCTTCTATTCATTTAGGTGCATACCAATTTCAATGTTAGCTATCCATTAAAATCAAAAGATTTAGCCATCTTTGTATTGCTTGATGCATTACAGAAACAGTTTGCAAACCGGTCTGATGAGTTCGGATTTTAAAGGGTAGGCATCAGGGTTGTGATGCTGTTGTAAATATCAAATATGGGGGGTACTGGGACTAAGACAGCCTTTACCTTAGTACAATATAGCTCGGCTAGCAAACAGTCTTTAGTAGCTGCATTTACTAGTTTTCCCACCCTACCCACCCTGGGTAGTTTTTGGTAGTAAATTCATTTCCTTTATGTCTGACAGTCTTGCTGTTTTTACAACTTATGTATACATTTGTTGATTCCATTTGAGTGTAACTAGTCTTATTACCTGTTTCATTTTAATATTGTACCTATATTTGAGTGATTACCTATTTACATGTTGTAATAAAGGCTGTCATAGTCCCAATCCTGGCTGTGTCCTGGTTGGCATTTAGGTCATGTAACAGTGAAATTGGAGGTCATTTGCTTTAGTTTTTTTCACTGTACAGTAGTTGTTGTATTGTTGATTTTGATATCAAGCAGCAAAACAAGTTGTAAGGTTATCATAAGAAATCTGTCAATGATCCGTGAAACAAAATCATTTTTAAAAGAAAGCAGGACATTTAGGTCCATGTTTTGAATTGTACTGATTATAAACTAATCCATAGCTATAGCCATTTGTAACTGCAATAAGCGTAATAATCTCATGGCCTTTAATAACAGACCACACACCAAGATTTATTGTAACTGACGTGCTTGGTACTTGAAATAAAATACATGGTGAAACTAAAACAGGAAGAGAGCAAAAATTACAAGCTGTGACAAAGGAAAATCAGAATAAAGAAATAAAAAGCCTGCAAAAACAAGGACTGTGAAGTACACTGACTTACATTGTTTCGGACAGAGAAAACTGCTGTGAAGCCAATTGCGGATAACACGAAGAGACTGGTAAAAACTAATCAGAACTGCACTAACCGTGGACCAAAATCAACTGAGACCAAACTATACTGCAGGACTATCATAGAATATGCAGAAAATAAAACTATAGAAACTTAGAAAGGTGCTAACGATGATGAAACAGCAAAGAAACGCTAACGAGGGGGGCGAAAACTGTCAGAAAGGAATAAAAACTTAATTGTGCAAATAAACCAAATGAAAGGACGAAAAGAGCTATAAACTAATTGCGCAGAAAACAAATAATAGAAAAAAATGTTACACTTGCATGTTCCACATTAATTATTGATGACTGATACTTAATACAAACACAAGAGACAGTATGGAAAAAGGAAGGACAATGTTTAATACATGTATTATACATTGCATTCTAAGTGTTCCAAGCTAATCAGTCATTTTGGCCAATTGCAAAAAAAAGTTTGTTTCATGCAAAACACTATATTAAGAAATAACATGGGGATGAAGGTACTTCCCTTTATGAACATGAACAGCAACAATGTCAATGTTTCAGTGCAAAAGTTTGGAGATGGACTTTTCAATAAGAATAGGCCACTTACACTAAGAGGTAACGTGACTAATGCTTCCTTTGAACAATGAGTTGGAATCTTGCCGATGCCAAAATTGACAGAGCACATAATTCTGGTCATGTGACCAGCCACGAACTTACTCATTAAGGAAATGGTGCAGGTTGAAAAACCTAATCACTTTTATTTTGTTGAAGCTATGACCCACTAATTGTTTTCTTAAGGCAAAATCATATAACTTTCATTTTCATCTAAACGATGTCACGTGACTTCTTAGTGCAAATGGCCTAGCTATTGGAGGATAATTAGCTTCCAAACAAAAAGCCCTAAAAGATTGTTTAGTTTCTGAGTTCTTATGGATAGCCTGTATCGCATGTCAAGTTAAACCTTAACTCTAAACCTTGAAGGGCTAACTTTATGGGCATGAACAAATACCTCTTCAAAGCATAAAATGTAATAACAATGGCAATTGCCAAGTATCAGTGGCAAAATACCATGAACAATAACTATAACGTTCTACCACCAATGAGATATGCTTGAAATACTTTTTCATATGCTTAAAATGTTACAGTGGCAATTGCCAAGTATCAGTCAATAAATATGTCTCTAAAAAAGTTAGGAAATACTCCTTTCAAAACACAACATCACTTTAAAAGACCTTGGATTAGCTGTTAAGACTAATCACACACAGTTAAACGATTTCCTTGCAGAACTAGCAATGACTGCTTTCAGCGATGAACTGAAAGCTTCTTCGCTTTCAAAGTGATTTGGAAGAGTTAATGAAAGCAAACACGTGGAAGCAAAAATGGAAGGAGTGTTGTCAAATTTAATCTTGATTTTAGCAAGCCCAAAGGTGGGCAGAGAAGTGGACCCAGTGGCAAAAAAGACAAAATTTTCCATCATTTCAACTTCTGCATTATGCAGGAACTGTTTAAGGTAATTCGCTACAATTCTGTCATTTTCACATATCTCAGCTGGAAACTCTAGCATATCAACCAGCTGAGTTGAAGTTAACCTACTCTTATTGCTTGGCACAAAAAGCTCCTCAAACATCTCAGGGTACTCTCTCATCTTGGCACGAAAGCCAAGTACAGCCAATCCCTCTCCCAGCTGATCCAAGACGATTTTGGGTCGGCTTATGACATTCATGAATTATCATCCCTTAGATAACCCTCATTTTGTTGTCATTCTATGAATAGAAAATACAATTTGAAAAATGCTCTTACAGTTGTCACAAAGCGGTTTTTTTAATAAAAGGAATCAATTAAGATAAGATTAGGCTTACAGTTAATACCACTGCCAGGCCACAATCAGACAAGAAATTTGCACATTCTTCTTGGTCAAGTGTCGACACATCTTTGGCCTGAGCAACCTGTAAGTCGATAAAAACTATGGGTCAATCCTTGCATTTCTGTTAGGACATGCATGTCAATCTGTTGAACATACATCTGTGCACTTATGGTCCTGTGGGACTCAGGTTGGTGCATGTAGATAATGATACATGAATATAGCCGCTAGGATGTCAAGCACATTCGTTCTATTTATGTGCTATACCTCAGTAGAAGCTGTTGACACATCAGTAGTTGGATCAGAAATTATTTGGAATGTTGTTAATGTAGGAGAATCAATCTGGTACATATGGCTGAGCAGACAGTCATGAAAAGAGAATTTTTTAAGTTTGTTTTTACATTCGACCAAATATAATGATTTATTCATCGCGTACAGTGAACTCAAAATAGCAAGTATGCTGTTACATTTGGGCACATCATTTAACTGTACATTTATACAATACCTTGTCAATGACATCTTTTACAGATGCAGAACAGTCTCCATAATTCAGCATCATCATTGCCGCGTCAACATCACCTGCTGCTATGTACTGATACACTGAAGGGCTAAAGACTGGAAACCCTGGCCCGCCTTGCAAAATGCTGTGCACTATAATTGTCTTAATGTATTTCATCATACCAGAAGCAACAATATCAACATTGTAAACAGGATGCTTGTAACTGTCACCATGGAAGAACATGTTACATATGACTTGGAGAAGTTGGCTAAAAAAGTGTCTGGTTACTCCTCCTGTGTCCACAGCAGGCTGCCCTGTGCAAAGGACTCGTAAGGGCTTGCTAGGATCAAAGCTGGGATCTTAATAGTATACCATGGCATCACTAAAGATATCTTCTTCATCAACTCTGAGGTTTTGTTTCTGTGTACTCAAACCTTTCTGAAGCTACTTCAACACTGCCTCCAAGGAATCAGCTTTAGCTGGAAAAGCAGGCTTTAAAAGTTCTGCATCAGCATCCTCATCTGAGTCAATTTCATCAGAAAGATTTTGGGAGGAGAGGGAAAGAGCAGCACGACTAACACTCCCATGGCAGGTTAAGGCACGCTGCAGCAAGCTGCTGCTTTTTTCCGGAAACATCTCTCTTAACTGGTCTAACTCTTCCTGGTTTACATGTATTGCACTGCTAGATGCTGTTGCACTGCTTGGTGGGCCAGTGACGGAAAGGTATGAAGCATTTGAAGGACCACTATATGCCTCGTCAACAGCAACTTCCACTTGAACTGGGTCTGGACTCTGGGGAGGACTGTCAATGTCGCTAGCAAGGTTGCCAGAGATATCATGCGCTGGTCGAATGTATATGCTCCCTTGCCCAGCAAGGCTAAGAACACGGGAAGATGAGAAATACAGACCTGTAGCTAACTTTCGTGTGATTATTTGGCCATAGCACGACTTCACAAATTCAAAGTCTGTTTCTTTAAGAGCTGGGAATACCTCTCTTATTTGAGCTCTCAGATCTTCCTCCTTTAGAGACTTATCTACTGGAAATGCATGAACAACAAAACCGTTGTTTCCCAATCGACATCATGTCTGGTGCGTGGGAACTGATTTCGTGTCAGGAGAAGAAAGAAGAACTGCATCTTTATGCACTATATCTTTCTTTGGTTTTTTGGGGGGAGGCCGTTTACCTTTACTAGATTTGCTTTCAGAAGATTTTCCACCAAATGATCTCTTACCAATAGTCGGAAATAAATTTCTTAACCGAGTGCTGACTGGTGTGCTTTCCATATTTACATTTCCTGTCTGACTTGATGGTGTTTGCGTCGACAACACTCCCGTTTCATGATGTCTCTGATTCAACATTCGTTGTTCAATAGGCTGCACATTACCATCATTAAAATTGTCCACCAGTGACCTTGCCTGGCGAGCGATATTTAATAATGCCTCTCGAAAATCTTCGCTACTTTCCGCCATTGCTGCCCTATTGCAATTTTCAAAATGGCGGCCTATTTTGGCCGATAGGGATCTGGGTAGCGGCATTGCTTAAAGCGCGCGGTGCATCATACCATACGAAATGAAAAGTTGAGGATGCTAATTTTTTTCAGAGAACACTGCAAATTTAGGGGTTGAAAACAGGCTGTATTTATTTATTGCGGGCTATTTATCTGGAGTTTAGCACGATTATATGACAATGGCCATATAGAACAGAAGTAGATACACCATATTTATTTGGAGTTTAGCATGTTTATATGACAATGAGCATATCAAGCTGGAGTTTAGCACATATATCAAAGGTTTGCAATAATGTCCAGTATGGCGCCCCATAGAAATCAGTCTCCCTATATTGATTTACAATGTTTTTACAGGGTCAAATCAGTCTCCCTTTTTTGATTTCCAAGGATGATATTAACATGTTATTTACATGGTCTTAAAAAACGGTGTACTGGTATTCGAAACACTGAATTTTAAATTTCCCATTAACTTGTTGTACGCAAATAGGTTCCCAGTGAAGGCTGGTGTTGTTTGTTGCACATCCAGAGGACGAATGAATAGTATCCCATGATGCATTGTGTTTCAAACTGATATATCGAAAATTTTGGTGACATCACTTGATTCTACTGCTTGCCTCGAGAGGTTTGATGGCGTCGTTCAACACAATTCCAGGTGAAAGTGCTTCTGCACTGCAAAATTGTTGCATGTTGTAGGTACATCATATCTCAAAGGAAAACTTAAACGCCTGACCTCGAGATTTATCTCGTATGGAACTCGTCTGTCGGGAAGTTCACTTTAGTTTCTTGGACAAGATGCAGAAAGACGAGTTGCTCTCTTACCTGCTTCAAATGGCTGTCACAACGTGGACGTTTTGTTTGCTTCTGAAAGTACTCCGGCGCTGGTGTCATTGAAAACAAGTTGCAATTTTACAGTAAGAATGATAGTGATAGTTCGAAAACAATGCAAAATGTTTTCTCAGATTGTTATTAAACATGTATGCTCACCCTTTGTTTCCGAATTTCTTTTACAACGACACTGATCCGAGAGCTGCACCTTTTACTGCTACTCTATTGTAGGATTTTGATCTCATTCCTGCACCAGTGACAGCTTCTATTTGCCCAAAGAAAATTGCAAATAGCGAGGAGATCGATCAAACAGTTCCACCCTTGAATCTCGATGTGGCATCATCATGCAATTGTTTCGATCACGAGAATCGTCTTTGTCTCGCCAGTTTTCACTCTCACTGAGATCCAGAAGACGAGGATGGAGAAGAAAGGATTGTTGATCCACTGAGGGACCTACTCATTAACTCAGAGGACGAAGAGGATGAATCTGACAGTGATCCCGGCAGTTCAGAGCCAGAGCATGACACTGATACCGGTCATAGCACCGAGGAGCAGGAGTTCGTGGAATATTTCCCTATCATTGGGTGAAACTGGGAGGAACGATATCAGGAAGGTCTTAACAAGTGTTATGAACTGAGAGTTAAAAAGGAAACGGTACCAATCAGAGTTGAACATGACCCTGAGAACATTGCAGATTGTAATGCACTAAAATTTGAGGTTCTTGCAGATGGAAAATGGTTTATCCTGGGGTATTGTGGGGTGAAAAAAATTCCAAAACTAAAAAAAGCCCTGCACTATAGTCAAGTCATATCTGTAGAATTGTGTAAGCTTCAAAGAGTATGGTATCCAGTGATTTCAGAGTTTAGACTCAGGAGGACTGAACATTGTGAAAAAGGAGAGCTGGGAAAAGGATGATCCACACAATGTTTACAATTCAGTAATTGACATTAACATTAGAAGAAGCTGAATACTGTTCCACAGCCACGGATTCTATTCCTCATTTTCCACTCCAAAAGCAGCTTAGATAATAATATAAGATATTAATTTTTTCAATACACTGGGTACATGATCTGAAAAACTATACAGGTTAAGGAGGATTTTCCTAGGAAAATCAGATAACACCCCCTAAACCTGTGTAATTTCTTTATACCACACTTCACCCGATAGTGCAAAATATATGCAGGCTAAGGACTCAGAACCTGCAATTTATTAAAAGGTGTATTCTAAAACTACTGTACCAAGTGTTTCTTGGTGCTGTAGAAACTGTTGATGTTGTGGTCAGTCTTTTCATATTACATGATTTCTTGACTGTGGCTATGCACAACAGCAAGAAAATAACTTTTTCAGCTTAATACCACTGTGGCAATTTTTGTTGAAGTTTGATGTCAATGAGAAATAAAAAAAACATAATTTTGAATAATAATAATTGGGCAAGTTTTCCTTTCTAACATAACCACATCAGAGGGTCACGCAAAAACTGAGGCTTGATGCCAATTATCAGTGGCACTGGTAAACTGAACACCGCTGCAGTAGCTTATACATGGATTGATGACATTAATGTAAACTGTCAAACAAAATTGTTTGGAACAGACTAGGAAGGGCCAGCTTTAAAAGGATAATGTTGGAGGCATTGACGGATTTCTATCTTTGTCAAAAGCAATGTGGTTGTAAATGTGAATTTCAATGGGCAAGGTTTTACTGTAAAAGTTTTAGGGTTTATTTACACGAGCCTTACAAACTTATCAGCTTGTGAATAAACAGTAAAAAATATCACCGAAACGATAGCTTTAATATTCTGCACTAGTGATAACATGAAAGAACAAATTCCAAATCTCAGAGCAAAACAACTCAGCTATGTATACCTGATCACATCTTATTTTATTTGACTGTTCCAGCGAGTGGAACGAGAATGTTCAAATTTGCTGTGAGTTTGGAACCTTTTTTCTTTCAAGTTAACAATATCTTCCCCATGAACAACTTATCCTATGAGGATCTACACAATAATACTATATGTAAAATTGTTAATAAATGTACACAATGCATTTTTTATCTAACATTCCACTGCTTCTTCTTTTGATAGTAAAAACAAGGATAGTCGATCCTACAGTTTTGTTAGTGTTAACAGCTAAAGCAACTGAAGAGAACCTTTTAATATTGCAATGGCCAATTTTCCTGACATAATTCACCAGAACCTCACTGAATGACCCATGAACACTGAGTTTAACCCTTTAAGTCCCAATAGTGACCAACATCAATTTTCTCCTACCAATATCCAAGAGATAAAATTATGAGAATTAATAAAATGATCTCCAAAGAGAAACTGCATGATCTTTTAGCAAGTTCTCTCAACTAATTCTTGAAGGAAACGTATAGAGATCAGTTGGGAGATTTTGCATGTGGATAAAAAGCACATTTTCAGATTCTTAAAAGACAGTTGAACACAGTTTGTACTGCAAGGTAATTCCAAAAAACATGAAAACGTACCACAAGTTCAAAAAGGGGTGATGCTAACAGGGACTGTAGGGGAATTTGCTTCATTAACTGCAGAAGCAAAGTCTGTTTTAAAACCCTGCTTGGGCATGGGCAGCTTCCGGGCCTTTGCTTTTACAAGACTATGTTCAACTACCTTAGGGCATATTTCTAGGATCGGGAAGTTGGGGCCAGTGGCCGGTGTATTTGTTGCCGGATACTTGTCTGATTTCGTGCAGGTAGAAAGGAATGACCTGCAAAAATGATGGATGCATCCTCTATACGATTCATGGGCAGGTGATGTAATCGCAGTGGATGACAAGTCGGGTCTTGGTTGTCTTCAACCCAATAAGGAAGCTGGTCAAAGGATGTCATCTGATCCTCATCTCTGAACCTTTCATTCAAGGTCCAATAATAGAATGGAAGGTCTGGCGACATTCTCTTTGTAAACTTCCTAAAAGTTGCCAAAATAAGTAATCATTATTGTTCAGTCCACGTTCATTCTTTACATAATGTTGGCCATGTAGTGAACGTTTTTTTCTGTACAAAAGCATTTCAGATGAAATGTGTTGATGTTGCTTGTTCGCATTCTGCATGTTCAACATTACTATAACCAAACTACTGTAACCAAAAATACAACAGTTGAACGAGTGAGTCAAAAAAGGCCTTCAATGTTACGTGAATCTTCCAATGTTTTTGAAAATTTCTAATGGGACAAACTTACTGAAAAAAATACTGACACCACTGCACACACCTTACAATATTTCTCCATCCTGATTTAAACTGCTTCAGAGTGAAGACAACACCAAGAATCCTGTGTAAAAAGGCAATGATGGCCTCTACGTCATCCGTTGAGCCTGCCCTTGGATGTTCCTCATAGCCAATCTCATTGTTCTGACATCTTTGAAATTCCATGCTTTCTATATTGTTTGCCACAGCCACTACCGTTTCACATGAAAAGCCACATATTTCCTTTACAGGCCTAAAAAGACAAAAACCAAACAAGCAAATTATACGATTAAATGTAAAGGATTCCAGGGGAGAAATACATGTACACTTAAGATTTAGTTCAAAGATGACATATGTTGACCCTAGCACATGACAGTAATTGTCAAATGCCACACAGATACATGTAGTAAAAACCAGAGTGGGAAGACTGAAAAAACCCACAAAGTCATCAAAGGAAATAAACCTCATTTTTCAAAATACCTGTTGATGTCAATGGATCTGAAGTCATAAAGTTCCCTATGCCAAGGCATCCACTCATCTAAAATCAAGTTCAGCATTGCATAATTTTTTTGGCAACGTTCAAGCTGTGAGATGCCACGCCCATCTGCGGCCTCATGCCAGTCAGCTACAATTTGTACATATCTGGCCTCCATCTCATAACCATGTTCCCTTAGAAACTTTGCAACCAAAAATGATAACATCCTCTCGGCATCTTTCATTGTTTCCGTTCGCCTCTCAGGGCTGCAAGTGTCAATCCAGTTGTCTGATCACGTACAGCATCATCAAATCCCTCAAAATTCATCCCTTCAGGGACTTTTTCTATCGTATGTTTCCATATGCACTTCAGGATGCGTGGATAACGCTATCCAGCGGATAAATCACTTGATAATGGTCTTCACGTTCATGGAACGTACATGTGGCAAGTGAAGTCAACACCCTCCCTTTGCAGCTCTTCAATTCTGTGTCAGTAGAGGCAGGTTGCCACAAGTGATCTTAATTTATCAGCCAAACTTTCTTCTGGAACCAGGGAGCCCCTCACACTGGTGACAGCATCTTCCCATGTCAGGCCATCCCTTGCTTTCAGCTGATGCAGTTCCTCAATCATCTCTTTTGGGATTGTAATATCTCTGCCAGCAACAACTGGGCAGCCATCCAATGTCTCTTTGTCGAAAGAAAGATACAAGAAGCTGACGATCACAAACGCAAAGAACAATTTCGAATGGCTAATGGCGATTAAATCAATGCTCTGAGTGAATTGACCCTCAAAGTCATGAAAGGTGTCGTACCCGTCTCTAACCAAGCCAAGGCAAGGTTAAGACCTTACGCCAACACACTTCGCCAATTGAGTCGACAAAGAGCAGGCATAAAAGCCAGACGACAACTGTTGATGAAACAGAAAGGAGGTGCGGTCTTCAGAGAGCTTTCCAATTGTGTTCGATACTGCGTATAACATGGGTGAACCACTGACAAGTACTGAAGTAAAAAAATTCAACCGAGTTTTTACGTTTGCAAGACCAATACAAGGGTGAAATTGTAGAAGATAAACGTCTTACTAAAGCAGCTGAACTGGCTGCCAAACAACACATGATCTTGAAAAATAATCAAGACAATGGTATGAAAGAGGCTCGATTGACAGGTGTCCATAGTTAGTTTCAAAAATGGATGCAACGTGTGCGTCAACCTTTTGGACCTGCGGGTGGAAGCGGTACTGGTGGAACGGTACTAGATGAGGATGACTTTGAAGCGGGTCCCGTGCAGGCTCTGGTCAAACAGTTGATCAAAACTATAAAAAAGCCAACCAAATAAGAACCGACTCAGTCTATGACACCCGCCAACAGACCCAACAGAAAAAGAAGACTACCGACACCTGTGATAACACCCACTCCCAGACAACCCAAGAAACCGAAACACCACTCTCAGGCTTCAATCCATTGAACACTTTTGACAAAGACGCAACGAACCACCTGAGGAATTTATAGAAAGAAGTTATCAAAGGTTGTTTCCAGATAAACAAGGAGGCTCTCTATCCACATCTGTTAAAAGCAAGGTCACACAACAAGTAAAGACAGCGGTGAAGCGAAAGGGTAAACAGGCAGTCACCAAAAAAGGAAAACAGTTATTGGGACGGTGGTTAGAATACAAGTAAGATGCCTCGAACCACACGCAAGTTGAGACGTGATTCGTTGAGATGACAGAGAGGTGGTCAATTGGACGTGCAAAAGGTGTTGTCCAAAACAGACATCGAGTTCCATTGGCCAGGTTACCAGTTCATGGGCCCAGGCACCAAGCTTGAGAAACGACTGGCCCGCGGAGATCCAGGCATCACTCGACTGGACAGGATAGCAAAACAGCATGACATTGACTACAGCAAAGCCAAGTCACTCAAGGACAAATGGAAAGCCGATAAAAAGATGATCGCCAAGATCAATCATTTGCCGGGGCAAAAAACCAAGACTGAAAAAATTGTCAAAGGCATCATGCAAACCAAACTAAAACTAAAAGTGTAATGTAAGGTAGTGTAATGTCTTGTTATTAAAATTTATTCTTTTTGTCACTAAAAACGTGTCTTTTGTTTCTGCGCATAGCAAAAGTTGTTTCTGCGCACGCGTGGTGTTCAAAAAGGGACAGAAATGTCATCCCACATGGGTACCCTCAACTCTTGGAGTAAATAAGGAACGTTTGGGAACGTTTTTACCAAACTTTGTTTGTGCGCATGCGTTCTGTGAAAGGGGCACACATGCCATCCCACATGGATGTTTTCCTCTTTTGGGATATATAGTCTTGTTTCATCAGGATGCTGCAATACTTGTTGCACCTTGATGGTGCAATCATTCTCGATAAAAAGAGAACGGGTTGAATCATTTTTCATTTGAGTTTTGCTTGCCAAGATGAAACGTTCCTGGGAAGACACTTGGGACTCTGATGATGATGATCTCTTTAACCAAGTCATGGACGACTTTGATGGCACACAACAAGTGGGAGGTTCGCGGCAACCCTTGTTTGCATTTTCTTTAAACAGTATTGGACCGCGACGCCGATGGAGAAACGTGGTGGAAAGGGCACAGTTCAGAGCTGAGCTTCGCCAATTAAGAGAACCCGTGCCTGGCGAAGACATTGGTGCGGCCTTAACCGAGGCTTTACACGCCACCATCGAGAGAGAGCTGAGAAGGGAGGTCAGACACCAGAATGATTTTGTCAACTTTAGCCTCACCGCTCATGGTTTCACCCATGCTTACCAGAGCATCAACTTTATGGTGGGGGAATTTCGGGAACAATCCGTGCATTTAAATGAATTGTTGCAAGAGTTAGCTGGCAAACTTAATAGCAATGAATCATTCGACCCTGAACAAGGCTTTCAAGTGGAGGTGGTTTTTGTGAGGCGCCCGCAACCTGGCAGTGGTCGAGGCAAAAAGAGAAATACCGGACGCCGATGCCTGGATAACGAAAACAAAAAGAAACGTTGCATCATTCCCATTAAAAACAATGATGATCTCTGCTGTGCCGTGCCATCGTCACCATGCGAGCCCATGCCCACAAAGACGACACCAATGATGCGTATCATGATTATCGAAACATAATCCAGGGTAGAGCCATTCAAGAACGTCAAGCCCGCGAGCTGCACCACTTGGCAGGCGTGGACCCCGGTCCGTGTGGATTAGAGGAGCTGGAAAAGTTTCAGGCGTATCTAAAACCGACTTATCAATTGTTGGTGATGTGCCGCACCAAACCATTTTTTCTGATTTTCAAGGGACCACCTGCCCCTAAACAGATCAAACTCCTAAAGTCAGACACCCACTATGATGGTTGCACCTCGTTTCCAGCCTTTGTAAGCCATTCATATTGGTGCTCTCTCTGTGATAAAGGATTTAATGTGGACGATGCCAAGAATCACCCTTGCGAAGGAAGAACTTGCCAAGCCTGCAATCGAAAAGCCTGTTCTGACTACAATCGTGATGTCAGTCCCACTCTGGTCTGTCCAAATTGCCATTGTCAATTTTACGGCAACGACTGTTTTGACTATCATCGTGAAAAAAATCAATGCGCCAAACACAGAACTTGTCCCAAGTGTAATGCAGAATACAATGTCATCAAGGGCAAGCGACATCGATGCGGGTTTGCCGCCTGCCCAAGCTGTAAAGAAATGGTCGAGATCCAGGCACACAAATGTTTTATTTAGCCGGCCGTGGACCACCCAGAAGATGTTGATGATGATGATAATGGTAAGAAAAAACCCCTCCCTCCACCCCTCTTTGTCTATGCCGACATTGAGGCTATGCAGCTGCCGGACAGACCAGTTGAACCATTTGAAGCCAACTTGCTGTGTTACCGGACCAGCGAAAGCGAGACGATCGTTACCCACAAGGGAAAGGACTGTGCCTGCACCTTTTTACATGATCTCCACGATGCAACCGAGATTCCTGAGATGACCGACAGAGAACCGTCATCGTCATCTTTCACAATCTCAAAGGTTTTGACGGGATGTTTATTATAGATGAACTGTACAAACAGCAACGCGGGATCGAAAATCAGCTCACCGTGGGTTCCAAGGTCCTTTCCTTTCAAAGTGCATCTGTCACGTTTAAGGACTCACTGTGTTTCCTATCTGTGCCATTGGCTTCATTTCCATCTGCTTTCAATCTCACGGAACTAAAAAAAGGCTTCTTTCCTCACAAATTCAATTCGCCACATCACCAAAATTACGTGGGCTCCATTCCTGGCATTGAGTTTTTTGACCCTGATGGAATGTCTGGAAAAAAAAAGAAAGAATTGGAAGAGTGGCACGCTGACCAAGTACGAAGTGGAGTGCAATATGACTTTGTCCGGGAGATGGAGGAGTATTGCAAGTCGGATGTGGCTCTCCTACAAGCTGGTTGTGAAGCCTTCACCAAAGAATTTGAGAGCCACGCCGACTTCAATCCCTTTGAAAAATGCATAACTATCGCCAGTGCCTGTAATTTGTAGTGGCACAAGCATTGCCTCCAAGAAGCTACTATTGCTGTGGAACCACTCAAAGGATGGCGAGGAGCCAACGTCAACCATTCCATGAAAGCATTGCAGTGGTTATACTACAAAGAGCATTGCATCCCCAAGCAGGGTGTCTGCCCGGACCAAATAAGGCATGTGCGAAACAGGGGTGAGCAGAGTGTAACCACTGCCACAGATTCTTACTTTGTGGATGGGTACGATCCCCAGACCAACAAGGTTTACGAGTTTCACGGAAGTTTCTTTCGCGGTTGTCCCGAATGCCATCCCAGAAACCGTCACCCCAAACACGCCGTCAACCCGGATCGTACCATGGAAGAACTCTGGAGGGCTACCCAGGTCAAAGAAAACGCTCTCTGCAAACATGGTTACAACCTCGAAGTCATGTGGGAACACGATTGGGACAAGTTGTGCCAACAGACACTACTGTTCTATAGCACTAGACCGTACTAAATGTTGAAATATTGAGGACTTGTCATGAAAAGTGATACTTAAATAATAGTGCCAGTAAGAAGTGTCAAATTACTTTCCAACACCTTTCACCAGAAGCATCGACATTAGCTATGGGACAATAGATTTTTGCTGGCATTCCACATTTTCAGACAGGAGGACAATGGCACCGCACTCGAGAACGTGGAGTATGAGCAGAAAGTTTCTTCTACTTTGTTGGACTGATAACCTCAGGGTTCCAACACCCCGAAATGAAAACGCCCTTGAAAGATCGGGGTGTGTCAAAGACATCGTTTTTTCTAATGACTCAATGAATGAAAGAATAAAAGAACTGCTTCTTCACGCGTTCAGCGATCATCTGGATGCTGATGACCTGCCAAGGTAAGCTTACACTCTGAAATAGTAGGGTATCAATGAATTCTGATGTATTTGTAATTGTTTTCAGGGTACGAGATCATCTTTAAATATAGCTTCATGTAAACTTCAGTTTGTATTTCTACAAACCGGTGGGGACCACAACGTGGCTTCAGGAAGTGTGCTATGGAGCGACAGTCTGTGGTCCGACACTGAAAACCTGTTTCAAAACAGCTACAAGAATCTACATCAGGAAAAGCATAGGTAAAATTGCCATAATATTTCCAATTACTGATTTTTGTATTTTGCAAACTAAGAGGCATGATATCCATTCATGATTTTGCCCTTTGTTTGTTTGTTTGCTTTCCCCGGCTTGAATTGTTTCAACTTTCGAAACAAAGAGAGGGCTGTTGAATTTAGACATGGTAGCCTGCGCAACCATTTCTCTTCACTCTTCGCCCCTGAGGACTTTTCGCGCTCCTCAGCGGCGAAGAGCGAGGAAAAACGGCGGTTTTCACAGGTTAAGATATCAGTAACTGAAACAGTATGCAGTTTTATCTTTAAAATCACTATAAATTGCGTTATTCCTGAATTATTTCGACTTCTCGTTTGTGTGAAGGAAATACTCATGTCTCCTGACTTACAAGAATCATGCTATATTCGCGCTTAATTGACCCAACCAGGACAAAAAGTTGGAACTCTTGGTCGATTTCATTTCTCTCCCTGTTCACAATTAAAGTTAAATTTGACGAACCTTTTCCAAACTGCGCTTTAGTTAACAACACTGCACAGGGGCAAGGAGGCTGCACTGTGCACTCCCAAAAATCCTACGTTTTTTGAGCAGGGAAGCCACCCTTTGACATACTTTGAACTGCAGCAATTTGCGATTATACTTTCACAATTTTGTCAAGTCCGTAACCATCGTTTAGGTCTAGGGAAGTTTTAGCTCCAAAAAAATACCCTTATCAGCTCTTGTGAAAAAAAGAATCATATCCTAGAAGCAAGAACTCCCAATACATATTCTCTCTTTTTCTTAGTCCGTCAAGCGAAACACACGAGACAGGTAATTGACCACGTATCTTCCCACATGCAGTGTAGTCTAATCTAGTCTGTTTTTTTTTAAAATTTTTTATCCTTGACATTACTATCATTGCATTTAGGTGGAGATGCAAGTGTATCCAGACAATTAGGTTTTAAAAATACAAACTGGAAAAACTGGAATCAGGTGTGTTAAACAAGACATTAATTTGTTGAAAGTTTGATTAATTTAAATGATCGACTATAATTTGTAAATAGCCAAATTAGCGCCGCGGCGCTTAATCAATCATTTATGGTACTTAAGAGTTAACTACCTGTTTACTGGTTGTAATATTTTCCAAAGATACAGGAAAAACATTGTTTACAACAAAAAGCAGTGAGGTTTTCGTTCAACAAGTCTGTCTCATTTGAAAATAAAAAATGTTGGAGATTATCAACACTCTTTGTTGCGAGCTTTGAGATTCGAGAAACCCTGGGGTCTAGTTTAGTTTCGGGATCGGCGCTGCGTAGCCTGTTCCAAGCAAGACGAAAAATCTGGCACAGGCTAGCCGGCCACAAACGTATGAGATCGACGTACCAAAGACAACTGGATATGGATATTATTTGTTGTAAAGAACATGGGTAAAGGTAAAGTTAATCTTTGTCAATTTCCTAAAGTAACTTATCCTTTTCTAAAATCTATTTTCAGGTAGAGATGAAGGGGATACTGTGGATCGTGCTGACAATCTAGGTAAGCTTAACTAATCATAAGCTTTTATGAAGATAAGCGTAATTGAAATAAGCTATTACACCTCAAGTCATTCTTTTAGCTTTTGATATCACTTTTTTTGGTCAATGAATTGTGAGCCAATGAGTCAGACATCAACAGTGGTCTAGTAATGATGTGCCGACCATGCACCAGTGGCAGGGGTTACTGCACGAGTACTGAGTATTTATTGATAATTACTGTTATATGCACTGAGCATATGGAAATTTAGAAGATTATACTCATTTTTTCAATTACAGTGTTGACGTGCGATGGTAAAGTTAACTCATTATTATAAATATTATTTTCAAAACAGAATTTCAGATCAGGACGTGACTGCTCCAGGGGATGGAGATGATGCACCATCAGAACCAGGGCCTTCTGGAGAGAGTGAGTGTAATGAATAGAGCTTTCATTTTCCAAAAAAAATCATAACAGTCGTCCCTTACATTTTCTGCCAGATGATCCAGGCGACTCCAGATTCGGATTGTTTCTATCAGTCTCCAGATTAGAATAAACCAATCAGATCAAATGTTACAATGCCAACAACATCTTCTTCAAGCATATTGTTTTATTCGCAAATTTATGCTGATGAGAGTCGATGAGTATTTTTTTTTGCACAAATGATGTCACTGGTAGTGTATCATGACGTCTCCTCTATCATCCCATCCATAATCTCAATATTTGAAGACAACAGAGTTGTCAGCCCTGCCATCCCCTCACCTTGTGTGCAGCCCCTGTTCAAGCAAATCAATACTTTTCCTTCCTAACATACTGACTGTATATTTCAACTGTATGAAAAGGCACTTGAGTGCCTCCCTACATTTCGCCCATCCCTGCTGAGGCAATGAATAAAATGACCCAGGCAGGGGTGATGGTGGAAGTTCTGCTCTAAAATTCCCTAGACCTAAGTGTAGGTATGACTGGCTTGTAAGCGTTTGAGCTTCACTGTGGTGATCTTCCGGTTAGAAATTAAGTCCGATAATGACAGAGTGGATTATGAAGCTTTGGCAATTTCAGGAACATCTGGCGAGATTAAGTGCATGTGATAATTACCTATATCAGTCAGTCAATTACATTAGAGTGCAAGATACATGGGTTTAAAATAGAGCAATGCAGCTTTAAATGAACAATAGAGCTCTCTTTTAAAAAGTCCATAAAGCCCGGTACCCTCTAGCGACACAAGCATATTAAGAATAAGCTTATGTTATATGCCCAAGTGAGGATCGACAACCATGACAAATTAGGCTTTCCCTCATGCTTAGGCTGATGTCCCGGCTTGAACATTCATTTTCATAAGCATAAGTTTTGATCAAAAGTTTTAGCTCATGAAATTAGAGGAACAAACTTTTGGGACACCCTGTAGTGTACCACTTTGAATAAATATTTAGATGAGAGAGATACGAATGGATACAAATGTGGGCTCTGGGTATACATATATGCCTATGCTTATTAAAATTTAGGGTGCATATTAGAAGAAAGGCTTTCATCCTGGTTCCCCTATACTGTACCACAGCAAGTTCCACAATAGCTATCTCATCATAGTGTGCATATAGATATGTCGTTGTAATACATCCTGTAATCTTATTGGTTACCCTAGGTGCTTCAAGAAATACAGGGATTGTTCACACAGGTGTACAGTAAATTTAATTAATAGGGCATTATTTGTTAACATAAAACCATGAAATGGGTGAGGACAAAACATGGACCCCTGGTCCATGGACCCCCACTTTGCACCCGGTCCATGAACCACTTTCATGGACCGGGTCCATTGACGCTTTTTATTTTGATAGAAAAAATAATAAGAAATGAATTAAAACAGAAATAGTGCAAAAATAAGGTTTGACGAGGCGCTGTCGACTGATGCTCGCCATTGATTACAAATATTTAGTTGTACTTACATGACGTATACTCTGCTTGCACATGTGCAACATGGCTGGGTCAGACGATGGTTAGTGTTTGTTCCTTCTTTGGCTGTTCTCTCATCATCCTTATACAATTTATTAACATTGTTTTTTTCCTTTTTTCCTCCTGTAGAAGAATTGTATCGCTTTTTAGACAGTTCTCCCGAAAGGTAAGCCGTTGCTTTTTTTTTCTTCCACGCAAAGTTCTCATCGATAACCCTGCACGTGGTTTCATCTCCGATTACGCTTTTTCAAGAACAAAATGTCCTTTCAAGGCAAGGCCCTAATATCACTGTCTTTTTAAATACAAAATATATTACCTTTGGGAAATACAAACCAGCTGTCCACTTTTTCTGAGAGTCAAAAGACTAATTAAGGGCCAGTTATTTAAACGGAATGTTAGCAAGTGTTTAACAAAACCGCGTTTTGTTTTAAGCTTATGTAAACTTAAAAAACATTGATCATGCACAATTACATTATTAAAACATATAAAGTAAACTACAAAAGGATTAGTCTTCTTAAAATAACCCACAAAGGAAGATATGTAGAGGTCCAAAGATTGCCTATTAAAGAAAACCGCGGTCTAAGTGAGATTTCCGCAAACGCCAGCGTGGGAGATTTCCTATCGTTGCCGAAAATGCCCGAAGATGTTCCGACGACCTTTGAGCATTGGTTTCCTTGCGACAAAATAACATCAACCAAGGGAATTTTTTTGTCCAGCGGTTTTCATGAAAACAAGGGTTGGTGGAGACTGCTCAGTCTCATGGGCTCAAAAACCTCCCTTAGGTCGTTGTTATTTTGTAGTTGCGTTGTGATACAGTCGGAATACTACAGAATATGCTTTTTATAAAGATTACATGTAAAATGTTGTTGTTCTGTTAATTTATAGTTAGATCTCTCTTAAGATTATTAATACCTTATTTTAATTTTTATTTTTGGCTTGCCTCTAGCAAAAATTATCTGTTTATCTATCTACCATTTATTTGCCTCCATCACAATAATTAATGACTCTTGCAAATTATTGCCTACAGCATTATTTTTCTGTGCTTTTGTGTGCTTTTCCATTTAAAATATGGCACTGACATGGTGTTCTACTTCAAAGTTCAATTTACAATCCTGATGTAACACCAGCTATAAACTTGGTAAATCATGTGCAATCAATGATGGAACTTCATGACTCACCATATATTTCGTTCATTTATTTCCAGACATCCAGAAGCAATTGAGATTGGTTCTAGTGAGACTAGTGAAGATGAAGAATTAGATTCAAGGTGAGTATCTCACACTGAGTGACCGCGATGACCATAGCCACCATTGAATGCAAAAATACCAAATATTTCAAATGGCTCAACTTCTGAACTTCAGTACAGCTGGTTACAGAGGAAGAAATATAATTTCCTTCTTTGCTACAATAACTTACAACTTACTTAATGAATCTACATTAACTTCACATTACCCAAACCTGGTACAGAACATGTCAATGACAATATGTTGTGATGGAGGTGTGTACATACTCTTGGAAGATATTAGTATCGAGTGTAAATTCATTTCTGCCACCTCAAATTTGAACCTTTGGGGTCGGCAGTCACTGAAAATCCCAGGAGCTTCATGACCATGTTTCGCGCTGAATGGAGAAAGGGCTGCAAATAACAGTCGGTTGTTGGACACTGGTCGACCAGACTTTGCCGGTGTCTGACAAAATCCCACCTGTGTTCAGACATTTTTGGAGAATTTTTTTTTCGTAAATCATTTTCAATCTACCTTGAGTAGGTATTGTCTTATTCTGCAGGTCAACTGATGACATATATGGCCCTTTGCCATCTGATGATGATGCGGAAAAAGAAATTGAGGTTAGTATCTTTCAGTTCGGCATTCAGTTGAACCTTCAAATGAAACAGGCCATTTATTAAGCAGTCACTCTCTCTTATGTGGTCAGTAAGCAAAGTCCCAAAATAGAAAAGAATGGGGAACTAAACCCATATTAAGCTGCCACAGCCTCAATTTTGCCGTCCCAACAAGACCTCTACTAAGCATCCATCAAGCCCTTCATACAATTAGTTTGGCTTTATTGTCAGAATATGATGAAGGAAAATAAAGACCAAGATAGAAGGTGACGGCTGATTGTGTAATGCTGTTTCCGTTGAGTGTTTGTTTCAAAATAAAGTGGTGTTTCTGACAAAGATTATACTAATTAATGATGACCCTCTATTAAGCGGCCAGCCTCCATTACGCAGCCACTTGCTGGTCCTGGAGGTTCATGGAGGCCCACCTATATTTTCGTAAATGTCCTTGAAACCTGTTCTAGAGCATTGCAAAAGTATAATGACAGACAATACACAAATCTTTCAAGAAGTTGATGTATGTCATTTTGTTGGTCACATGTTCTTTGTGTCTCAACCCTAACTAACTACTGACCAGTTGCTAATAACTAGTGACCGTATAGATTGGAGTTCTGCACCGTCATTAAGGTCAGGTGCACTCTCATATTTCTCCCTTCTTTAGAGTGAGACAGAAATAAAAACAGAAGCTTTTCCTCTTAAAGAGAAAAAGGCGGCATTTGTTGTGTATAATGGAGACGAAGATTGCAGGTTGATAAAAGAGCTGGAAAGTTCTGAAAACCCATTAATCATACCGCTGCTCATGAACTGAAGAACAGACAATGTGGAACTTGTAAGCAAATCTGTTCCATGTGGAATACAGCAAAGTGCATCCCTGTTGGTTGACATTGATGCCCTAGAAGAAAGGGAAGACATCTACAGTGATGGCAACGGTGTGTTGTGGACCCAAAAAGTGTGCAAGACCAAGTATCTCAACACCATCACGTCTGCTAATAATAAAGTTGTGGGGTTGACTAAAGTGTCTAGACAGGAAGAAGCGGACATAACCGTGAGAAGGCGTACCTATACCAACAAGTCATGTCAAGCCTTCCGTAAACTCATGCTTTCAATTGAGTATGGAAGGGAAATCAAACAGTGGTACCCGATTGTCTTTCTGCAGTACAAGTATGATGGCGAAGAAAAACCCTTTGAGGTCATGCGTCATGGAAACTGAAAACTAGCACCTGGAAAACCGCATGTACGCACCAAAATGAGCACCAAGCGTAAGGCCTCAGAAAATCTCCAAGTTGATAGTGGCCAAAGAGAGCCTTATTCAAAACTGTCAAAGATGTTGGTGGACTCCTGAGGGCAAAAAATCTTGGAACATTGCCGAGAAATGAAAGACAAACGAAATATTTAAAGAAAACTGATGAAACCAGAAACTTGGAGGGTTCTAGGGATCCCCTTGCTACTGTTATGGAATTGCAAAAAGCTGTTTTACCGGGTTTCATTCGTGATGTGGTTTGTAATGATTTACCAATGGTTATTTTGTTCACTGACCAGCAGATTGACAATCGTGTCACGTTTTGTTGTTTGAAACAGGAAGAGTTTGTTTCAGAACTTGGGGTGGACTTGACCTTTCAGCTTGGACCGTTTTATCTTCTTGTGACAAGTTACAAAAACACTCTACTTGAAGTAAAGGACAGGAGGTGTTCACCATCCTTTTTGGGCCCTATGATGATCTGCCTGACGAAAGACTATCAGACATATCTCTCATTTGTCCCTCGACTAGTTAGAGAAGTCCCGGGTTTTGCACAATTCCTCCATGTTTATGGAACAGACAATGAGGATGCTCTAGTTAACGCCCTTGCTGCAGGTTTTCATAGGTCATTTCACCTACTATGTTACATTCAGTGCAAGAAGAATATCCAGCAGAAAATGAAACAAATTGGTTTGTCAGAGGGGCTAATACGGCCTTTTTGTAGTGACTTGTTTGGCAGAGGTGGCTTGGTGTGGTCTCAGTCTGAAACAGAATTTGAAGAAAAGATATCGCACCTTGTTGAAGAGTGGGATTCACTTGAGAGGAGTGAGCGACAAGGAGAGCCCAAATTCTCTACACACTTCTTGGAAAACAAGAAGCAAGATATGAAGAGTAAAATGTGCAAGTTTGTAGTCAAGGACTTGGGAGTGGGTGATGGCCCATACAACCGGAACATCCCTGAATCATTGAATGGTCTTCTGAAAGACTGGAATAATTTCAAACCGCAAGAAATGGACAAGCTGATCCTTGCCCTTTATGATCTAGTTCAGAGTTTTAATGAGGAGGAAGAGCTACAATCTTGGACAAAACTGTTGAGAAAATGTCACATTCTCAGACCATTTTTCCTAACATTCTCGCTATACCGCGTCCTCCCTTCCCCCCTCCCCTTGGAAGCAATGTTGTTGTGTGTTCTAAAGCAACCCTGATTCTTAAACATTTGTAGGAAACAACATTGACCTGGGGGAAGGGGAATTTGGTACCGCAAATCAGTTGTTTTTGAAATAGTGTTGTTGCGTTACATAGTGTGCATGGAGGGGTAAAAATTCTCAAGTAGTTTTGTCCGGGATTGTATATCACTGAAGTTGTGGATTTGACGCATGTAGCGTGGTTATATAAGCCTCTCCTTTATATATTAGGTACATTTTACAGTTAATGAGATAATTGATGAGAAATTAGTGACTTCACAGAAGTTAATCACTAAAAAAGTCTTTTGTACGTTGCATTATATTCAAATCGTCAGTCGTAAACGATCTTGAATTTGTTGGCTGACCATCGTTTTCACGCGCGCTTTAAGCGCCGAGGAACGGGCATACATTGCATATTTAGTACATGATAAGAATGTCTCCATTAAGGATATTAGCAGCAAAACAGGAGTTTCAGTGGCTACCATCTATAGGTTGAAGCAAACAAAAATAGGAGGGCGGAAACATTGTACACGAACGCCTGTAAAACATCCAGGTGGGGGCCCGAAAAAACTGACTACGCGAGATGAAAGACATCTACTGCGGTGTATTCCTGTTTTAAGGGAAGAGGAAGGAAATTTCTGCGCGAAAAGGTTAATGCAGAGAGCCGGGTTGAGTAAGAAGAAGGTAACCGATCGAACTGTACGGCGATGTTTGAACGAAAACGGCTATTACTATCTACAAGCACGCGAAAAGGGCCTGATGACTAAAAACGATCAGAGGAAACGCAGGATATTCGCAAAACAAGTACAGGGCAACTATTCTGCGGATGTGTGGATTTCAAAAGTGGCTTTTTACCTCGATGGTGTAAGTCTGTTTTATAAACGCAATCCCGCAGATCAAGCGAGAGCACCTAAGGGGCGTATATGGAAAAAGAAGTGCGAAGGACTGAGCCTGGGTTGTACCGCGAAAGGTTCAAAAGAGAGGAGTGGGGGAAAGGTACTGAAGTTGATGGCTGCCATAAGCTACGGAAAGGGAGTGTTAATGTGTCATCCGTACAAATACTTTGACGGGCCAACCTTTGCTGCATTTGTAAGGGAGAAGTTTCCTGAGATGTTTCGTAAAGCGGGGAAAAAAGGTCCACGCATTTTTGTACAAGATAATGACCCCGTGCAAAATTCTGGGAGTGTACGCCGAGCTCTGAACGCCTTAAAAGGAAAGCAACTGAAGATTCCTCCCCGGAGTCCGGACGTCAATCCCATTGACCAATCCCCAGAAGCTGAGGCAGCAAGCACTGAAACAAAACATAATACATGAAACATTCCGTGAATTGTCAGACCGTGTGACAACAACTTTAAATAATTTTTCTATCGCAGAAATTGATAAGATCATCGAGTCTATGAATAACCGCTTACAATTGATAAAACAATCAAATGGACAGAGGATTAAATATTAACTAAACTCGAATGTTTACTTTACAAATTGAAATGTTTACTTTCTTTTAGACATTGTAGCGAGTGCAAAAACTATAATGTCATGCGCAACAACGTGACAACATGCACTATCGCGTGACGTGTAACATTGCCACTATTTTCCTGTGCTTCATATTCACATTAGACCGAAAAAAATTACAACATAGATTCGTTATTTAGAAACAAACAGATAATAAATGTTGCGACAGTGGCCTCCTAACCTCTTTCTGTTCAGAAGATCTATGATTTGGAACGGTTAACAGGACATTTGAAAGACCCTATGAAAATTGGCAACGATTAACAACGAATAACAACGTCTTCTATAAAGAATTAGAAGGTCATTCACTTATTTCAGTGAAATTGTGTTAACCGTTTCAATGTTCTGTTAATCGTGATATTATTCTATGTATGGTATCGTCCTAAAAAGTTAACCGATTTTTACGAACAAAGTTTGTCTAACCCTGAAAGTTTAACCTAGTATCAGATCGGAGAAACATTTCCCACAAGATGAGATCACGCGCTGCGATTCCCGAGGGATTACGTAACTCAACTCAAACAAGTTCCACCGTACTTTCATCATCTCAGTCTCTCGCTGATCTAGCACGCCATTTTTGAGAAAGAGAATTGGATACTTAGTAGTACAAAAAATCGGTGTATCGGACTTCACAGTAATGTCCTTAGAGAAATGGGTCTTTGGGGCGGGTAGATGTACAGTTTGACCCTCTAGTAGAAGCAAGAAATCATGCCATGGGATCAATTGAGGAGACCAGCGGAAGTCGTTGAGGAAAATGCATTCTGCTTTGTCAACCCCAACCCAAGCAAAGGTTCCTGTTGCAGGGTTGCTGAATGTGTCGTAGATAGTTGTCAGTGGGTTCAATAAAAATGTTTTCCCGCAATTTGCTGGACCTGTTAACATAATATTCTTGTGCTTTCCACGCCCGTTCACCAGTAAATCCTTCACAGCAGTGCGGAAAAATTCCAGAGAAATGCCGTTGTTGTGTAAAATTTGTTGCGCACACGTTAACCACTCACCATTACAACCTGTTACACAGGAGCCAGTTTTAGCATCCTCTAGAAGGTCCATGCGACTTTTGCGCAACCGTGCCAACTTCTTGGGCGCATTCTCGATCTCCCAAGCAGTTTGTAATACATCGGCGACAACCTTTGGGTTGCGGTTAACTAAAAATTCCGCCAAATCTGTCTTGCCTTCTTTTTTTTGTTCAAATGCTAAGGCTTGAAGTTCTGTAAGAGTTGTGACATTTCTTTTAACAATTATTTCTCCCACCTCATACGCGGTAAGTCTCCACCTTTTTTTCCTCCCGTTAGCGGTGGAGTTCCCATCGCTATCTTCCTCCTCCTCGTCCGCGCTTGATATTTCCGAGTTAGTAGTATTTCCAGGACTTCTTTTCCGACGTTGACGTCTCGAACGGCTTGCAGAGCTTGTCTGTGGCTCCGTGTCATCTAGACGGGGATGTCCTTCACTCTTGATGTAGCATGCGTCGGACTTCGTAACATACTTCCACGCTCTATAATAATTATAATGCCGATTTGAATAGTGAACGCTTATTCTGTACACATCAAGTAGATATGTTTTCCATGATATCCAACGTTGATTTCGGTCTAGTTTTATAGCTAGATGAAAGTGTAATCCTCCATCCTTGTGTTCTTCCAAACAACATGACCAGTGCTTTACTTTGGCATGTCCTTGAGAAAACGATTCTACTACTGCACTTGCAAAATCTTCCCGTCTGGCAAATTTGTCCATATCGGCTTGACTGTATGTCACAAGATAAACACTCCTTACGTCTTGGCTACTAAGAGAAGAGCCATCCCGGTCTTCTTCAAACTCTTCTGACAACAATAAAATACTTTGCGAATTTTCTAAACCTTCCATCTCTGAACAACAGGACAAAAGGTAACAATGCGCACGCGTTATAGCACTATTGCAAAATCTTTCTGTTTTCGCAAGGTACTCTAAAAAACCGAAAAAGAGCTCGTACTTTTCTATGAGAAGATCATGTGGTGTAAAACTTCGTGTCCAAAACAGCCTCTGTAGAGTGTTTTTTATTAACACCATTTCATTTGGTCATTCATAATTTTCGTGCGGGAAAACGCAAAACACCGTAGACACAATCTTGGACAAAACTGTTGAGAAAATGTCACATTCTCAGACCATTTTTCCTAACATTCTCGCTATACCGCGTCCTCCCTTCCCCCCTCCCCTTGGAAGCAATGTTGTTGTGTGTTCTAAAGCAACCCTGATCCTTAAACATTTGTAGGAAACAACATTGACCTGGGGGAAGGGGAATTTGGTACCGCAAATCAGTTGTTTTTGAAATAGTGTTGTTGCGTTACATAGTGTGCATGGAGGGGTAAAAATTCTCAAGTAGTTTTGTCCGGGATTGTAGCATGGTTTGGCCTCTCAGAGAAATGGGAAGTACGAAAAGAGTTTCAGCACCTTCACCCCAAACCATTCAGTAGCCTCTCGCCAGAAGAGCGTCAGACAGAAATGTCTAGGGTGCGGCGCATCAGGCCAGATGCAGTTGCCTATAAGAAGTGTAGGTCATTTAAGTTTGAAAGCAAGCTGCCTGCAGCACAATCAGGTGCCAGCAACGTAAAGGTACGAGTAGCTGGTAGAAAATATAACAAAAGATTGGACTGACTGTATGTTTACACACCAACATCAAACGTTAACTGCTGAAGTAAGGCCTTGCTGTTGTATTCTACATTCAGAAATTAAAAAGCCTCCAAATAAGCTGTGGAGTTTGCAGCTTTACCCTTGTGGTGTTAATTAAATCAGCTGGTGAGAAGAGAGATAGTGATGGTTGTTCCAATAATGTCTGTGCTATAATCACGGTGAAAATCATTTTATATAAATTGGACAGCCTTTCAGTGCAGATTCTTGCACTGTGTATAATAAAGATTACATAAAAATCTTTGCATTCTAAATGTAATAAGAGGTTGGGGCAAGCAATAATATATCCTTTATACTTTGGTAGCAATGCAAGTAGGTGATTTTACTGTTGCATGCTTAGTAGTGATTATAGGCCTTCAAGGGAAAGATAGGTTATATTTTTGTAATTAGGCGCTTTAAAACACATCACATAAAAAAATAGTGAAGTAAAAAGGACAAGACAAAGACAAAAATAACATCTACATGAGATTGTGACAAATCTTACTTTTTTTTTCAACATGGCATTCGTACAGAGAAGTACTTTTGAATTGTTATCTTTTTTTTTAAACAGCTTTTCTTGATGCTTCATTCCGTACATGTATCTTAAAGAGTTTTTTTATTCATCTCTGTAAGAACCAAGACCAATCCCAAGTGGGAACATTCCCTTCAGATTATGTGAAAAGTCTAAGGCAGCACTTTAGCAGTGAAGAGATATCAGGGCTGACAGTGAAGGCAGATGCTTTGATAGCTAATAGGCGCTTCAGAGAAGGCTTCCAAGACGGCAGTTTCTTTGTGGATAGTGGTGTTGCTGTTCCACATAAAGTAATTTGTTACAAGAGTGGGAAGACAACGTGTTCATGTTCATTTTTTGCTAGAAACAACCTGTGTTTTCATGCTCTGGGAATTGCTAAGCACAAAGACAGGCTTCCCGGCCTCCTTAAATGTTCTCCTGGCAGAAACCTTAATAACCTTGCAACAAATAATGCGCCAAAGCGGGTGGGTAGGAAAGTCCCCCCACGAAAGAGAGCAACAAACACAGCTGTATGTACACCCCACCTTTTAGAAGATAGAAATCAAGGGTCCGACCATCTTTCTGTTGAACAGGTGGATCCCTCAAAGATCATCATTCGCAAAAAAGATAGGCCAGAAGATCCCCCAATCACCTCTCCCCTTGATGTTAAGAAGATAGCAGGAGGCATAAGAAAGTGTGCAGGTTGCAGTAAAGAGATTAAGAGCGTTGTAATCGGGTTCAACCAGGATGAAGATTCCCAGTACTGTCTTGCCAGGCATGAGGCTTATTATTTTTGGAATAAGAATGCCAGTTGTTTTAAATTGCCCTCTGGATCAAGGCACTATCATTTAAGCCCTGTCTGTACTAAATCACACAGCAGTTTGGTGAAAAAAATCTCAAAGGGAGGTATTGACATTCCAGAAAGTATCCTTGATTTACTTAAGGAACGATTTCATCATGTTGATATAATTGACTGATTGTATAGAAGGTTCAAGTATGTTTTTCCCTTACGGTAAAGTTGGCATGACCATTTGAAGTAAGTTGAATGTGAAAAAAAAATCTCTGCAGACAATTTTTTGTCAGTTTGAGTTTTGAAATTTTTATTCTAATCAAAGATCAAAGAGTATTTTCCATTGCGTTTAAAGCAGCTTATTCTGGAAAGTAAATCATATTTGCAGTTATAGTGCATGAAACAGTGAGGGTGATATCTTAAGTTTCCTGGTTAGGTGACAAGCCATTTATTGACAAAATAATTGCTGAGTTCATGCCAGAAGGAGTATTGCATACAAAAATATACCTTGTCCAAAGTGAGTAAAAAGATGCATTTAGAGAATTATCCAGTGTAACCTGAGATGAACAAATTTGTTGTTTTCTTTCTTTTCCTCCTATTTACTTATTTGTTTTTTTACACCCATTACATTCCATGAGAAGCATATTTTTTTCTGCATGCAAAAATACGTGTAGGGCCTCAAAGTTATTGTTTCTCAATTGCCAACATAGGAAAGAGATAATGCTTTACGGAAATTCTAACAAAGATTAAATTGAGGAAAGTTCACTTCTTTTTTTCTGACTACATGTAACAGAATGTCTTCAGCATTCTTGGACTTGTTGCTGTTTCGTACTTGTAATCAAATTGTGTTATGTGTATAAGTGGAGAGCATTATAAGAGTATGGGTAGAAAAAGTCTTCGGTTGCACATGTACAGCCAGGTATGTAAACATTGTCTCTTTCAATCTAACAAATCCCTCTGTTTCTGTCATTTAACTTACATTCTTGTAAACATTTTGGCACAACCCACAAAGCCTTTTCCTCATACTTTTATGGGCCTCTTTTAATATGCACTTGCTGTTGCTCTTAAATGTTTTGTTTATATTGTTTGTTTTTTTTAAATGGCAAATAGTGCCTAAGAAGAAGACAAAGACATCAAAGTATTGTTTTTATTGTTTTAATTGTTGATTAAACATCATTCATGTCAGATCATTTTGTATCAGTTTTATTTGTTTTAACGCGAGTAGAGGTACATAGAAGATGTTCGGAAGCCCAAGGGCCATGCAGTATAGTTGCTGAAATGTAGCAAAATTCGATAAAAATTATTTTCATTCGATAAAAATATATTTTCATTTTTCCAGAGAAATGCCGTTGTTGTGTAAAATTTGTTGCGCACACGTTAACCACTCACCATTACAACCTGTTACACAGGAGCCAGTTTTAGCATCCTCTAGAAGGTCCATGCGACTTTTGCGCAACCGTGCCAACTTCTTGGGCGCATTCTCGATCTCCCAAGCAGTTTGTAATACATCGGCGACAACCTTTGGGTTGCGGTTAACTAAAAATTCCGCCAAATCTGTCTTGCCTTCTTTTTTTTGTTCAAATGCTAAGGCTTGAAGTTCTGTAAGAGTTGTGACATTTCTTTGAACAATTATTTCTCCCACCTCATACGCGGTAAGTCTCCTCCTTTTTTTCCTCCCGTTAGCGGTGGAGTTCCCATCGCTATCTTCCTCCTCCTCGTCCGCGCTTGATATTTCCGAGTTAGTAGTATTTCCACGACTTCTTTTCCGACGTTGACGTCTCGAACGGCTTGCAGAGCTTGTCTGTGGCTCCGTGTCATCTAGACGGGGATGTCCTTCACTCTTGATGTAGCATGCGTCGGACTTCGTAACATACTTCCACGCTCTATAATAATTATAATGCCGATTTGAATAGTGAACGCTTATTCTGTACACATCAAGTAGATATGTTTTCCATGATATCCAACGTTGATTTCGGTCTAGTTTTATAGCTAGATGAAAGTGTAATCCTCCACCCTTGTGTTCTTCCAAACAACATGACCAGTGCTTTACTTTGGCATGTCCTTGAGAAAACGATTCTACTACTGCACTTGCAAAATCTTCCCGTCTGGCAAATTTGTCCATATCGGCTTGACTGTGTGTCACAAGATAAACACTCCTTACGTCTTGGCTACTAAGAGAAGAGCCATCCCGGTCTTCTTCAAACTCTTCTGACAACAATAAAATACTTTGCGAATTTTCTAAACCTTCCATCTCTGAACAACAGGACAAAAGGTAACAATGCGCACGCGTTATAGCACTATTGCAAAATCTTTCTGTTTTCGCAAGGTACTCTAAAAAACCGAAAAAGAGCTCGTACTTTTCTATGAGAAGATCATGTGGTGTAAAACTTCGTGTCCAAAACAGCCTCTGTAGAGTGTTTTTTATTAACACCATTTCGTTTGGTCATTCATAATTTTCGTGCGGGAAAACGCAAAACACCGTA